CTAGGATCTGGAATCAACTTCCAAGAGAGGTGGTGCTGGCTCCTACCCTGGGGGTCTTTAAGAGGAGGCTGGATGAACACCTTGCTGGGGTCATTTGACCCCAGTACTCTTTCCTGCCATGGCAGGGGGTTGGACTCGATGATCTGCTCAGGTCCCTTCCGATGCTACAAACTATGAAATTACTGTATTTACATGCATACCACATGACCCTTTCCCCAAAAATCAGTCCTTCAAAACTGGAGCCTTTCTATCAATCTGGGAAGCTTTGCTGAAACAGAAGCACAGAGGAACAGAAGCATGAAGAGGCAGCAGACATCACACACATTGCTTACCTTCTGAAGACTCCCTCCACGCCAGTGATGCCCATTCCATCCACAATGTCTCTGGTTAATCTAAAAGGAACCGTTTCTGGTGTGGGAAGGATTTTACCTTGCTCAAAAGCAACTCCTAAAGCAAGAGATGTAGTGAAATGTTACAAAAAAGTTTAAGTTCAGAAAAAGAAAGCTTTTTTCTCCCTGCTGCTCCACTTACCCAGATCTATGTGTACAAGTTCTGCAGTTTCCTCATCAATCAAGATATTCTGAACATGTCTGTCTCCAAGTCCCAGTATGTAACCAACTGAAAAAGATGATCTTAAATGAAATGTAATCACTGAAAATTTTTTTTCACATTTATCTTTGTAAAAACATGAAAAGAAGATTTCTGTAAACAAGTTAAAAATGAGAGCAGGTAATACACTCTGTGTCTATTTAGACTAATAGACAGAGTACAGAGTAGCCCATATAAATACCATACAATGTGTCTGCAACAGAAATGGTGCACCGAATGCAAGGGATAAAAGTTCCTGATGGAACTTTTAGACAGAAATCCTGCTTCAGTGGAGTCCTGCCCCTTCCCATCGATGGACATTTGGTCCTATAGGCCAGATACAGACATTAGGCTTTTACAGGTAACAAGTGAAACTGGCCGAACAAAAATTCAGCGCACACAGACTGGCAGTGCTCTCCTTCCCCCAACCCCTGCTATCCCTCAAAAGGTGAATATGTATTCTGTTTGCTACCAATTTAAACTATGCTGCTTGCAGAAAACCACACAACTTGGATCAATTCCGCCTCAGGCTTTTTGAATGTCTGTACATAGCCATAATGTCACAAAACTGGTTGAGTTAGAAACCAGATATGCAGCAACAATAAAACAATTTTAACACTCAGAAGAGCTCTTAAACCTGAATTAGCCTCCCATTTTTCAGAAAGAGAAGTCCCTACTCATTTTTTGCTAAATAATATACTAAGAAATACTCTGATAAATATTAACAGACTTCAGTTTGCCAAACATGTATTTTATAAGTATCATATGCCACCATATATATATGTTCAGGTTAAGTTTTAGAATTAAATATTATTTTTATACATATGCACGCACACAAATTTAATATTTAATAATTAAATAACAGAGAGAGAGAGTAGCATATGATACTATACTGATACATAGTTAATGAGTAATAGAAAACAAAAAGAATGCACCTTGAACAGTTATTTTAAAGAGAGAGAGAGAGAGAGAGAGAGAGAGAGAGAGAGAGAGTGAGTGAGTGAGTGAGTGAGTCTTTAAAATAACTGTACAAGGTGCATTTTATAATGCATTTTTTGTTTTCTATTAGTTACTCATTAACTCACAAATGGGCCTCCCGGTCATGTTTCAATTGTATTGTATGATACTGACACCATACCCAATACTGCATTCAGTAGAATGAATTCGAAGTACAGACAATCTTCATTTGTGTAAAGCACGAGCTTGGTGACAGTCCTCTGTAGGGTTAAAAGTACCATCTCTGCTGCATGCTATGGTTGAATGGTCACAGGCCTTTGAGCCGGACTGCTGCCCAAGAACTCATTCTACTCATATAACCAATATTTTGAAGTATTCATGTTTATATAAACCAGGGATGCTTTAACATAGTTTAAACTTAAAACAGAACCTATATTCACACACTCATAATCTATGTAATACTCTCTTGAATATCTTTCAGAACATGAATATTTAATTTAACTCTAAAACTTAAAATCACCCTGAATTTAAGAGTAAAGCCATCAAACTGATGAACGCTCATTAAAAACCCAATATGTGTGCATTTCATGTTGGTTCAGCAGCAGCAGTTAACTAGAAATATGCTCAAGCTGAGCACATTGTTTCAGACATCACAAACAATGCTAATAGACAAAGAAAATAAAAATGGCACCTCTATTAGACTTAACTCTGCTAAAAACACAAGGGGAGGAATGAATGTTTCCTGAATGGGAAATGACAAAATTGGAAGAGTTAAATGTTATTTTAAATCTTTCAAGATTAGAAAAACCTACAAAAAGCAAAAAAAGCCAAAATCTAAACCTGACTTTTGAATGCAAGAACTAGAATAAGCTTGCTAATTTCTTTTCCCCAACTATTTAAATTGATCTAATAAAAGATATCAGATTCACCCAAAAAACCTTGTCTGCCTATGTCCTTAGATCAACATGGCTACAACCTACACACCTACGACTAGAATAAGAGTTTCAGTAAACTGGGTATGGGAAGCTGTCACAGTGCGACTTAACTGCCATTACCCTGAAATGGCATGATTTTTCTCTTTATGGAAATGAATAAACCAGCACAAGGTCTGAAAATATGGGGACAATCATCCTGAACAGAATGACTACAGTTGTTTTACTGTACCAATAGAAGATGTAGCAACACTGCGAGTATAAGCCAATCGCTTCTCAAACCAAACAGCTGGGTCCAGGAATTTTTCCATGCAGAAGTAGCGAAACACAGGTTGAAAATTCTTGCAGATGTCCATAAAGACGATATATTTCTCCTCAAAATGCTTCTTTTGGGCATCCTTCAAACCACAAATAAATAAGAGATTTTTTTTTGTGTTCATTAATTAGTTGGCAGGGGAAAAAATAACTAGATGGAAACACCTTGCTCTACTCTGATACCAAATGCTTGTGCCATTCTCTCACAGTTGTAATGAAACTTCAGAGCATTCATGTTAATCGCCAACTTAAAATATTTTTTTAGTTCTTTAATTGTTATTTTCTTTCATTATAATGGGAAAAAGACTGATAAAAATAAATTAATTCTGGAAGATAACTAAATCTGCCAGGCCTCCGCAAAAACCATTCTAAACTTCAATAGTGGTCTCATCTGGAAAGAGATTTTTTGGAGGCTCAACCACTGTCTGTTTTTTCTCATGTGAGATATTTAATTCATAATTAATATTTTTAATACCTGTTTCCAAATTGTTGTCAGATAAACCTGAAGATCTCATCAGTAAATTCAATTTCACACCCTATTATCAGTTACTACATTATGCTAATACTAAATCCAATGTTTTGTTTTGTTTTTTAAAGATCAGCAATTTAAAGAACCTCTACCCAACATGAAATGAAACAGATTCTTCTTTTCCTACTGTAACTCACCATCATAGCCTTGTGAGATTGAAGACTACTGTAGTCTTTTGGCCTGTATCTACTGTGAGCTCCTTGTTGAGGATTCACAAGGAACTCCCCAATGGGAGTCGTCCCTGAGCACCACTCAAGGACTCCACTTCTCTGAGAAAGGGGAACAACCTGGGAATAGAAAACCAGTAGCAAATACATTACAGCACGCGTCCTTTTAAGGGACATGAGTATTAGAGTATACAGTTGAATTCACATAATTTCTTCTTATAACTTTTTCTAAGCAATGGAGACACTTTTTTTAGTAAAAGAACCTGCTAATGAACAGGTATGCATGCTATACTACAACATAATTACCCTACTGAGTTTCCATGTTTGGTCCTCATATACTAATGCAGGTATTATTAACTGTTCAGCATACTTTATGGGCTACTGAAAGCATTTGTTTGGATTAGTGTATTGTGTGACAACTGAAATATACATGTGAAGCTGAAGATACTCAGAATATCCAGTCTCAGATTGTATCTATTGCTGGCTCCTACTCAACAACAGGTCACATTGCAGCTGGCTCTCACTGACCCCTCTTGTTACTGAGTAGAAATTTGTTTGGTTTTGATATTTTCCTTCTCTTTTGGAGGCAGCTATGAGAATTTCTAATTTAGATTTTTGTGTAGCTTTCATTTCTTGCTTTATCATTTAATTGTCAGTGAGTTATGAAAGTCTCTAGTACTAAAGGTGGGATTTGTAATTTCAATTACAGTTAAATAAACATGATTTCCATTATATACAAATTTAAAATTATTCTGAAACTTCTTCCTCCCTGCCCTCATTCGTTTTACAGAATTGCAAAACCAAACAGGTTTTACTTATTTTTGCCAAACAAAATGAAATCCATCTATGAGTTCTTGAAACTTATAGGTTGCACAGTAACAAAGGTAGGTTTGCTGGCTGTTTAGAAGCACAGTTCCCACTTGTCAAATACAAAGCTCATTCCCATGACTTTCCTCTTTTGTTTTTTTTGATTACAGGTCTGTATAAAGAACACTTCAAAAAGCACTGAAACAGAATCCAGTGCAGCAATTTTCTTTTGTACTTAATAAGGGGAACAGTTAAACTAAAACACTTGCTTTTACTGAACTCTGCCCACTTGAGGAAACAGTTAATTTCTTGATGATATGTACAGTTTGTCTGAAGTGCCTTTGGGCAGCAATAGAATAGGAAACATCACACCACACAAGTGTCATTTATCACAACTGCTGCAGCATGGCAGCAGGAGGTTACCTTGTATCTTCGGATGGTTAGCTTTCTCTTTCTGGTTTCAGTGTTTTGCTGAAGTAGCATATTACACATCTGGAAAACCTGCTGCATAACAGCATCCTGTCTCAGATCATCCCGGCCCTTGGGAAGAAATACCAAAAGCAATTAAAGGAAACCTTTCTGGGATCCAATTTCTGCTACTGCAGTAAAAATAATTCTATAGAAGCGTTTAAGTACTCTGTAAAACCTATATTACATTTTTTGAAACTATACAAAATTAATTCATGGTTACAGTTGTGCATATGCTCTCTCGCTCTACTTGGTTTTCTAGTATTGTTCAGAAGCTGGAAAGTAAAATTAATCTGCCGGCTTTTTCTTCTTCTTATGGGAAACATTTTTTTTTTTTTTTTCGTATTTTCCAAAATTGTACATAACTTTCTTTTGGTAGTATGCTTTGAAAGTTCAGTCAATGTTGCACCGTACAGCCTATCATGCAACTGAGGCAACATCAACTGATACTGAAGGTATGGTTAAAAATATAAAAATCAGAATCAGAGCCACATGAATATTCTTTGAGCTTTAATGTTATCACATAATTAGTGATGAGGACTGCAGATCATAGCTTTTCCATTGGTTGCAGAGTACTAAAACTGCAGAAATCCCAGTCATCCCTGCTACAGGTCTGTACATTCCCAAGAATAATATATTTTTATGTGCGTCTCTCAAGAATGATATAGACACTTGGCAATTCCCTTTTTTAAACCCTTCTGCAAACATATTTTAATTGTCAACACAGCCCTGTACTGGGAACACTGACACAGATCACAGAATGACAGAAAAACAGGGAGGTCATCTAGTGCAACCCCCTGCTCAAGGCAGCATCATCCCAATCAAATGTTAAGTGATGTGCCCAAGTGACAGAACTAGTCTATATGAGAAATAGGAGAAGAATTCAAAGGTCCCCAGGCCTGTACACACGATAATTTTTGCCATTTCTGTGGCTGGTACAACAGGCAGTACGTAAGAGAGAGAACTCACCTTGACCAGCTGCCTTCTCTCTTTTCCATCTGAGCCTATGCAATCAATTATTTTAGGCAGGTTCAGGCCTCCTGCTAAGCGAAACTCTGGCTTGAATGACCTTATTGTCACCAAATTTTCATATTTCCCTGTGGGATCCACCTGAAATCATTCACATAGTTAAAATCACTTTAATATATCACGTCCATCACACCAAAGAAAAATGGTTGATTAGCTATAATCTGAAGTTTTACGGACTTTATTAGCAGATTTAACACAAAATGGTTAATATATGATCTTGGTGGTCTGTAGGGGCTAGATCAGTAGTTCTCAGCATTTTCAGTTAGGGCACCACTCCACCACTTTTTTTTTTGAACTGGTAGCAATCTGTGGTTGAAAACCACTGTTGGTGCTGCCTCAAATTACCTCAGTGCGTCTCAACTGCAGATAGGCTGCTGTTTCTGAGAGAACCATGGGGGGAGGCCAGACTGGATACAACTACAGCCTAAGCCAGCTCTGCCTGCTTTAGGGTTATCAGAAAGCCGTAACACAACAAAAGTGCACACATGCTACAGCCCTATGCATGGGGCAGTTTCACCTGCCGGCTGCCACTGTGGCACCCAAGGGGGATCATCTCACAACACCCCCGTCCCCAGTTGAGGACCACTACACTAGATCCACAAAAGGCATTGGGGTCTGATTGTAGGAGTGGAAGTCACCGCCCTAAGGTAGGTGTCTAAGCGCCCAATACAATGCATAGGGAGCAGGAGGTGCCTAAGGAGATGAACAACACAAGCCTGACAGCAGGGAAAGGCCAAGGCCAGCCGATAACAAATGCCAAGGAGAAAGATGCATCAAAATTCAATGTGTTAATGGAACTTAGTGACCACTCTGCAGCTACAATTCAGGCACCTCAGTAAGACTGCAATTCACAGCCCTGAACCCTCATCTGCACTTAGATGCCTAACTGCCCCTTTGGGGAATGGGAGACTGGCTAATTCCATTCCTATAAAACCTGTCCAGTCGTGGTGCTGCTCACCTTACATAGCAGCTGAGAGGTTTGAGCACTTACACAGAAAATGGAGACAGGTTCAGTTCCCCATCTCCTGATTCTTAAACTAGGAGACCACAGGCTAGGGTGGGCTAAGGGCACTCTCTCTCCTCCTGTGGAAGCTGGGCCACTGCATGGCCAAGAATGCAAGATCTGTAGGGTAACAAAAAGAGTCGAAGAACAAGCAGGACTCTGTAGGCAGGTGGTCAGGGCACTTGTCTGGCAATGGGAAATCCAGGATCATAGTTTGTGCTCCAAGGACTCTTAAGATACAATGCTTTATTCACCTTAATTTCCATGGTGGGAACAACTACATCCTCCAAGTTCTTTAGTTTAGTAATAGGCTGCTCAGCTGGAATACTGATGCCTTCTGCAGTTAAAACAAATGCATTTTTGGATTAGACAGGCGAGTTTTTTTGGGTAGATGTGGTATCTTTTATTAAACCAACTGAATGGTTGGAAAATATATTCTTTGCTAGCTTTTGGGCACAAACACCCTTTTTTTCCAATTATAAATTGTAGGCACTCCTTGAAATTCACATTTACCAATATCTGTTTTGGGTTTTTTAATCAACATTGCAGTCTGGCCCCTGAATCTTAGACCTGCACAGGGAGGAGGCTGGGAACTGTCCTATGTCCTTTAAGAGACCAGAAATGAAGCAATAAAGGCAGGTCTCTCCCAGCAGTACCAGAGATTCTACAGCTGTCTCACATCCAGGAGCCCATCAGGTTTAACTTCACATAAATTAAAGGTATCTGAAGACTTTTTTTTTCCACAGTAGCAGCACAGTACCCTCCTTCCCTCCCCGCCAAAAAACACTTAACTAGTTAAACTCTTCAATAGAAACTCTTATCCAAAGATCTGAAGGAACTTTACAGATAATAATTCATTGACCTATCACCCTCCTGTGAGGTGAACAGTGACTTCTCCATGCTTAATTCAACAACAGAACCACAGAAGTCCAAACTGCAAGCACCCAACCTACTAAGTAGCGTCCCTCTTTTCCAAGGCTTACTTCTTTGAGATTTCCACGGAGTAGCGTCTAAATTTGCCAATGTGATGTAAGCATCACAAAGTGCCTCAACACCTCTGACCATAGAAGCCTTCCTACTTTTTATGATATTAATGATGTTGTTAGCAGCCTCCATACGATCCTGTGGGAGCAAAGACAATAAAAATATAAGAAATGCTGTTAACTACCATCCACTAGAAATGAGGTCACCCTGTGTAAAGAAAGGAAACAAACATTGAATAACCTTCTGCAATACAAACATGAATTCATTTAAAGCAGGGGTTCCCAAACTGTGGTAACACATATTCCTGGGGGTACGCAAGACATCTCTGGGGGGTATGCAGAAGAAACTGTGTACTGGTGGATTGAATTTAAATTTTTATTATAATATTAATTGGCAACTGTATGGTAATTTATGCAGTGGTCTGTTCAGAAGTTTCTCATCCATTTTGCTTTGGTTCGTATTTGGTAAATACTTACAACTTTAGCTCAGGGGTATTTGGCTTGAGCAAAAGAGAGATTCCAAATGTCTGGGAAGAAATTTTAACTGTGCTGAAGTATGTAACTTGGATCAATGAATGGGTAACAGCGCGCATCAGAAATACACAGCATCCTTTTTAAAGGATGCAACATTCTTAAAGGGAC